GATAACACATCCTTAAGTGGAGAAAGTTTCAGTTATAAAAAAAGCTTACTCTATGTCTTGAGTGACAAATTATAGCAAAAAAAAAATTAAAGCAATTGCTACATGTTCAGTTGAAGCTGCTATTTAGTTTTCTACAATAGCTTTTATTCAGAAATACAGAGCTTTTACTTTCACAATAATATTTCTATCACAGTGCTTTTCACCAAGTGAGCTCTGACTATTTTACAACAGAAAATCTAATGCACATATGAGGCAAAAAGATTTATCAGCGAGCATATAGGTCAGTGAGAGCTTCAAGGACAGAATTCACGTCTTCAGCCTGTGGCCCATTGTCCTACTTACCCCATCACACCACCTCCTCAAGTTAATAATAGCTAATACCATGGATTTACAGACTAATTCTCACAAGACACTTCTGTGAAATAAGCAGGTACCAACCCCATTTTACAGAGAAGAAAACACAAAGTGCTAAATTCTTTAGCACTCTATACACCTTGTGCAATCCCATTACTACTGTATTGATACCCAACGTAAATTCAAACAGAGATACATAGCATTTTTAGCTTACAATTCTGTACTCTGAACTACAGAAATCAACACGCTTATCTGAAGAAAGAGAGCAAGTGCATGGTATAATGGGATGGCAACGGATGAGTGCTTAGCTCACACTCATATGCTTAACCCATCTCTATCTGCAAAACCTCAATTCCTTAAACTTACATGGGACATTGGATCAAGACATAGGATCAAGTAAAACAGCATCAGAAAATTTTCCTTTGCCCCCCCCCGCCCCTCGCCAGCTTTCTAACATGGAGCTTTATGAAAGCACTTCCAAAACTCATTTTTGACAAGCTGTTTCTTTGCATTGGCATATTTAAATCTTTTTTTTCTGTTCAGATTACTCAAGAGCACAGCACAGAAGATAACTCTGACATTTATTATTTTGGGGTTTGAATGTTGCTCTTAAGTTATTTTAATTTTCTGAAAGATTTTCAAGGTTTATAGCTGAGTGGAAACAGCATTGATTCACAAAAGAATTTCTACCCCAAAAATTATAATCACACCTATATTTTTTTCATGCAGGTGGCCAAAAAAAAGAAGGGTAAAGAGTGAGGAGAGTTCTGTAAAACATATACCCTAATAACCTTGAGTAACTGAAATTCTAAGTACATATGTTCTTGGCCGCACTGCTAAGATATTTAAATTCCTAAGTAGTGTGGCTGGCTGACTCCACAGTGCTACAATAGTTGTTATAGTCACGACAACAGCTACATGACATCTTTCATAGCATTGTAATGAAACGATGTAAGCCTCCTTAACATCGACTTCTACGTCTGTAAAAATAAGTGGATTCAAGCATCATCTATTTAGCATTTATATACGTTTTAAATAAGCATGCCACCCAAATGGCAAGTGATTTTCATGAACAGAAGTAAAAACCACTAGCAAGAACAATTAAACAATTCAGCAGTTCACAGCTACCAAAACAGTATCACAGATAAACCCAAGAATTTTTACGGCAAATGCAGGAATAATTAACAAGTAATCACTAAGCCCAGTAACTTCAAAAACATGGTCCAGGTGGACCTAGACTGTAACATGATGCAGGCTGGTTTCAGCACTCCAGGCTCTGCGGCCACAGGGCTTCAGTAGGAGCAAGCAGAGCAGGCTTCTCCTCCTCATGGAGGGTGCTGCAGAGAGGTGCTCTCTCTGTCTGAACTTCAAGCCACTCTGAACTGTACATCAGACACTGTCACGGGACTGACTGGGAAAGAGTTCCATCCAAAAAGTTCTGAGTTTATCCATCCACCCTGCACCATCTCTGCTTTCACTATGGCCTGCAGGTTCTAGCAATACTGTTCCACTGCAAACTGTGGGATCCTTACAACTCAAACTGTGAATGTGCACCCCATACCTTAAGAGTGTAGCTTATAGATACCTGTGCTCCACAATTTCTTCACTGCGTATGTTTATCTGTCTGCCTTCCTGCTGTGTTTGTTTTCAAGAATGCTCTACTGTTCATGTGCCCCTGAAAGTGCACACAAAGCCATGCCAACACAGCCATACAACCTGCACATTCTGAAAACTTCGCATTTCACTGTACTTCTTCCTTCCCTTTGAAATAGGGCTTGATTCCTGTCTAATAAATGCCAACATAATGACTACATTCATATGCTTTGTCTTTGGCAACATGCAGAGCCTGATTCCCTCCAGTTTTCAAGTATAACCTTCACTTTGCCCCCCAGCTACTACTACCAAGTAGATTTCTGCCATTTTGACTAAAACTAGTTCAGTTATTTTCCACAGGACAAACCGAGGCTGCACAGAAAGCTGCAGTACCTGGTAAGGCTCACTCCAGTAACAGCATACGTGAAGTGACAACTTTCAGATGAGTAACCAAGTGTTATCACATGTCTTTACCAATCTCTTGTTCAGAGTTCTGGTCACTGAAGAATATTTCTAAAATCAGTGATAAAGCTGCACAGCAATACCCATCTAAAAAGCATTCAAAGTGCAATATACAGCATGGAGACTATGAGATTTTCAACTGAAGTTATATTACATGTGAGATTTTAAATTCTCCAGAACAGCATAACTTAAAATTTGGCTTCTATCAAGAACAAGCATAGCTTTAGGAGATTCAGGGCATGATAATTTTTTTTAATTTAAATGAATTTTTCAAAAGCTTATAAAAATGAACAGTTCGCAATATGAGCACAAATATGTATCAAGGACATATAATATAGAGGAAAAACTATTTCAACTTCTTTTTAATTTAACTGCAATATTTTTTCAAAATGCTTCAAATGAATTCTATTTTAAGAGATACAAATTACCTCACTGCTTAATAACCAGACTCTTGTTCTAGTCCAAACTTCTTTGAATGCCATGTGATCTTAATAGATTTCTTCCCTTTCTTTGTTCTTGTCATTCTCTTTTAATACAATACATTCTAATCTTCTCAAATGTTTACATTACCAGTGTGTGGAATTGTACAAAATTAACTACTGCATACCCCCCTCGAAACAACATAGTAACAGATCATCTTGAAATTCTGCAAGGTTCTGGGGACCTTGTGAAATTAAACTCACATAACTGCTGTAAATCCTTAGGCCCAGCTATATTACAAGCATATTTGACAAAAATTTTAAACTAAATGCTTCATCAGTATAGACTACTGGAAGAATACTTCAAAACTAAATCTGAGATCATTTAAATATTCTTTCATGCACTCAGGTCAGGACTTATAATGTTCTTACTTGAAGCAATGCTCACGTCTGTGCAGTTCTGATGAACATTTAATGCAGACTGGTGAGGGGAAAATGATTCACACTTTTTTTCTTTTAATGAGTACCAAAAAACCTGGAAACAGTAACTCAGAGTAAGATTAGCTCCTATTTTCCCAGGCTAGTTACTGTCCACCATTAATAATCCTGCCCATTTAAACTTTAAAATACCAAAAGTAATTAAACTATGTTGTGCTTGTCAATTTAGAGAGGCACTTGGGAGTAATATATGCATGTTAATCAGGAACATTAGCAGCCAGACTATATGAATTCTACTTCTCATTACTCAATCTGCATTACTGTTATTTAGAACTGGTTTTCAGTTTTAGGAAAAAACTCTCTCCTCCCCTCCAAACAGAGATTCATCCCTGAGAATACTTAACTTACTCTGAGCTACAATACCCCTGTGTTTTAGGGATGAGATTAATCCTTCTATCATCAACAGTTACTAAATAGCTTCTTGCTATCAGGGAACCAATAAAGACGTAGGACATCATTAATTTCAACTGCCTAGCAACAACTCTTCTAACACCATGTTTTGACAAGGGGTTGGAGCCTTTTCTAGCATGAAAGAGTTGCTGGAGCACAAGGACTATCAGAGATGAGAATCAGCTCTACCTTTCTTGATTGCTAGCTCTGCTTTTCTTACCATCAGAAGAATTTCCATACAAGTAAAATCCTCATTTCTACTCACAGGAAAGTTAAATGATGCACCCAATGTATTTTGAATCCTTATTCACATGACGCTCAGTCTGGCAAGGTGAAGAAAGATGACACACAGTTTTAGCCATGCCAGACCTACTACAATACAGCAAACTTGAGTTGAAATGTACCAGACTTCGACTGCAAGAGGCTTTCCTCACCTGAGGTCAGCAGATTTCTTGACGTGAGCCTCTTTTATTCTATAAGTTTTATTACTGACAACTCTGGGCCATGAAAACAAGTGCAAAAGCACTGTGTAGATCTTTAAAATATGCACATGAGATCATCCAGTGCATTCTCACTCCATACAATGAAGGTTTGCAATGAACACAGTGAAAGAGATTCCAAGTTCTGTCTCAGACTTCATTATTAAGATTTAATAAAAATCTATTGGCAAGAAGCAACCACTCAAGTTTCAGTAATGATTATCTGTAATTTTTCTCTTTAAAATACCCTTACTCAACTTTATGGCCTTTTAGAAGGCATACACTTAGTTGAGAAAAAGAATTTAAAATAATTCCATTTCATTATCAAAAAGGTATCAGAAATTTAAATACATGAATGCTATTTATCATGCAATGTAGTTTGGGACTGACTTTCAATTTTGAAGGCTGATAACCAGCACTATATCAGAAAGGTTGGTGTTTTAATTTAGATAGTAAATTGTGTCATAGTCCAGTAAACCCTGAGTTCTGAAAAATGCATGTGCAGTTTTATTATTCAATTTGTTAATATATCACATGTTATTTAGAGATTCACCCCATCTGTACAGCTTACTTCCAGGTATATGCATACCAACACATGCTCATACACATGCTAATTCTTTCCACTGTAGAATCAGTACTATTTACATACATACGAATTCAAAGAATTAGATCAACACCACTTAATCACAAACCAGTTTTAAAACTACACATGGCACATTAAAACCTCATTCTCTTCTACTAGAACTCAATTGTTCTTAACAATGTACAAATGTCATACTTTCTAAAAAGAAAATGTAAAAGTCACCTTTTAAAAGCTGATTCAGGTCCATGGCATCATGCAAGACTTTTCGACTATATCTGCGATCAAACTCAGAATCTAATGAAAAAAATACAGATATGAGATTGGATTTCCCAGCCCCAGAGGTTTTACAAATCTTGTGTTGTACTTAAATTCTTCAAAATTACCATATAATTCTTGGTTCACATTTTCCTGTCTTTTTACTTTTAGTTTCTTATCATTTGATGCTGCAAGTTCAAAAGACTGGATAGGACTGATGTCTGGAGTTGACAGAGGTGTTACGTCAGTCACTGTGTCTTCAGACTCCTCCAAGTAGTCACCAAGCTTTGGTTTTCCTTCTGCTAATTTCATTGCTGACTTGAATTTTTGTTTTGGAGACAGAAGAGTGTTCCTACAAGCATGCCTCTTTGGGGAAGAATGAGATGAATCTGATAAACAGCTATCAGAATCTGTATCAGAACAATCTGTATCTGAGCTTGAGGAAGAGGACGAGGACGATGAGGAGGAGGAGGAAGAAGAGGAGGAGCTGATATTAGTATATTTTTTGCTAGCCTTTTTTATGTTGTTTGACTGCTTAGCTGACTTTGGCCTAACCTTCTGTTTTTTGGCATCGTCACTACTATCTTCTTCATCTGTATAATAATCTTCTTCACCTTCTTTAACTATTTTGGGGATTCCAGTTGGAACATTCTCCTCTGTTCCCCTACTTGCTGCAGATGTTGCTCCAGATGTACCTGCATTCTCTGCAACTGGTGAAAGTGACAAAGATGAGGCACCTCCATGATGATCCGTGCTATTTTCTAGGGACTGATCATTCTGCAAATCTTTCTGCTTTTCTTCAATTTCCTCCTTGCAACACTTTGTATCCTTTGAATTAGAAACCAAATCAGGGTCCGCGAGAGCTGCCTTTGTACTTCCTTCCTCTATACATTCTCCATTTTCTTCAGCTTTCTTTTTCTCTTCCTCAAAATCACTGTCAAAGAAAGCATGATCTACTTCACCATCTGATACATCTTCAAACCGATCCATACTGAAATACGAAGTGCCACCTGCAACCATCAGAAAAGGTTTCCAAAAGTTAGCATAAAACCAGATCCAAGTACACTTTTAGTATAGCAGTTTTATTATTTCCTCTTTTAGCTCTACTAATTTATAATTCTGCAATTATGTTACGTTGCTAGGAACGACTCTGTAGTGAGTTTTATAAAGAAATTTAGTGCCATCTTATTGTACACAGCTTACAGGTTAGACTGAAAAGCTTTACTTTAAGCCAACAAAACTCATCACCATTTCGAAACTTTTACTCCTAAAGAAATTAGTCAGACATTGTTAGCAGCTAAATAGTCTTAACTATTACAAACAATCGAAGTGTCTTAGTTTGTCCCTTTAAGCTATAGCCATTTTAAGCTAGAACCACTACTGAGCTACCATTAGTCTGGATTTTATACTAAAAACCTTGTTTGCATGTGGTGGTCATCATCTTGGCTGATGCAGCCGTGCAAACTGCAGACTCAGTACTTAAAAGGAGGAGCAATTTCAATTTACATCTAAAGATCCATGGCTCTGTAGGTTCAACTGTAATACATGTAGAGTGTGTCAGTGTTAATGGTCTAGTTTGGATCAGGAGCTTGCTTTTCTTGAGAGTCCTCTGTAACTCACGCTGCATAGTACAATGAGCAAACTTGATTCCTTCAGGTGACACTGACCTTTAAAGTGTGCTCCAGCCACGAAACTAGTGCACCGAAACCAGCAATCACCATTCAGTCCATGGACCTGATTATGGCTAGCCCAAATACACACAGTGTGGATATCAGGTCCTCAGCATTAACTGTTATGCTCTACAAATCTGCTTCTCTTGTGTCATACTTCCTGCAGAAATATATGGTGTTAGATCCTATGCATGTGGCCGGTGGGATATGGAAGTTTCCACTCATTAGTAGGATACACTTCACAGAGTGAAAATAAAAAAACCCCGAACACCTCACCACAAAATTAGCCAGTATCAAAGACTACGGTTTCTAGCCAGCAGTACTTTTCTCCTACTATTTACAACAGATTTTATATAAACTTTGTAAGCTGCAATCAATGCATGTGTAACATTCTTTAGAGACAAGGAAACCAAAAACAAAGGCCGTAGAAGCAACTACAGAAGCCAGGAGAACCAGATTATTTCATAAGATGGATGGTCTCCCTTAAACCACGTAGTTTGTTGCCATGGCAAACAAAGGTAAAAAAGGAATTCCCAAACTTGCCTTCAAACTGCAAGACTACTCCCAAGAAAGCTTCTAGCTAAAATTACTTCAAAACACGAAATCTTAAAGGTCTATGTCACTCAGTTATCTTGCCACTTCTCAAATAATACTCAGTTTTAGAGGGATTTGAAATACACACCCTGAATACAAAAAGCACAACATAAACCTTAAAAGCAAAAGGTGTGGAATCTTCCGTGGTTTTAAGATTCACAAAGCCAAAGAACTGAAAAGAGACTTAAGGTGTTGTATAAAGCTGAAAATGCTATTATACAACGGAAGCAGAGGTCAACTTTGGTACCACAAAGAAAAACTCTTTAAAGTACCTAGATCCTCCAAGAGCAACACAACAAAGGAATAATACACCTGGGAACTCCTAATTTGAAATGCTACATGGAATTTGGAAATTTTTCATATTCGTGTCACTTCTTGTGATCCTTGGCTTCAGGCAGCTTGTATTGACTGCAATGCCCAACTGTCCTGTGAATTCTTGGAAGTTTTCCTAGAGCACCTTCCTAAAAGAAGAATGAATTTTAAAATCTCAAAACATGCACAATAGAAAAAAGATTCAGAAGAGTAACACATTATTTACATTTAATTGTCTACCTCGTGTAACCTAAACCAGAAGGGAACCAAGCAGAATTTTTTGGCATTACCTGCAGACTGTAAGTCATTAATTATTTATTTAGCAACTCGGGCAAAGTCAATTCTAAGAAGAAAATGAATATAGGAAGTACATTGTTAAAATTCAAACAAAAACTTTCCTTCTCCATGATGCAAGGTTTTTATTACTTAATGCAATAGCATCTCACCAGTTTGTAGCTTCACACAGATTATGACTGACTGGTAAAAGTAAGCATGTGGTGTATTTCACTTGTCTCATCAAACACATAGGTTTGATGCACTGTTAGCACTGTTGTACATGTAAGAGCATAAGGGGATAAGGCAAAAACCAGGCTTGCAGGTGGATGCAGACCAACCAGTACTGCTTGAAATACAAGGTTTTGTTGAGTGCAATACACACATCCACGTATTTTTAGTTTATGTAATGCTGCTCCTGCAAAGGAGGCTAACAGTATCTCATTGGCTATAATATAATATGTGGTCACGCCACGACTTCCAAGACCTCTCTTTTCTGAACAGAATCTTTCAAATGAAGATGGGATTTAACTCAAAACAGTGAAAAGCACAGCGTAGAGGTTGCAAAAGGGGATAAGAGATAGCAAGGACACTGTCCTTTCCACCATTAGCACCAGCCAAGGAGCACACACCTTCCCTCTCTGCATGACTCAGGAACAGGTTACCTGACAGTGTTCGTCATGCAGACCGAGCCATAACTCGTTCATGGACAGCAACCACTGTTACAGAAGAAATGCAGTTTAGCAGACTGACTGCCCAAGGAGCAGCAGCTGTAACACCACTCATTTCATTGCCAAACACTCCTTCCACTTTTCTGGCACCATCCCCTTAGTGACTTTAGCCTTCATCTTAATGGAAAACAGACATGCTGTGTTGGTCAATTCTCTCACTGACACTCTTAATCATTCACAAACTAAACATTAATTATTTTTGTAGTTTCCATTAAAAACAAACAAGAGGAAACAGACGAAGATATGGTATTCTTGACTCCTATTCCCCTCGTGCATCTAGAATGTCTTTAAGGGAGCTGGAATTTGCCAACAAGCAGCAATACAGAAGAAGCAATTTAGCTGATAAACGACGCTTAAATTAATAAATTGGCTGTGTATACACACACAGAGACCCTGACACCCCTTTATATACAAGGCAGAGTGTGTTTCTATTTCTGTGAGAGGTACAGAGTTCTGATACATTATCAATTGTTAAAAACCAGAATCAACAGGTGTTATTCTGAAATCCCAAGAAAACTGTAACTATGCTGTAACTGCAACACCCACCCATTACACCAGCCAAGCACACCCATGTGTCTTTGTCTCTTCATCCCTGCAGGTTCTCCTGGTTTATACCACTTTTCATCCCTTCACATCTAAACACCAAGCTTGACCCATTTAAGATCAGAAAGCAGTAGCCAACCAGCCAAGTAGCACATACAGTTTGGCTGTCAGGGCAGTAGGGACACACACTTTCTCATCAAGAGGTTGATGCACTGAGCAACTGACTACCTATCTGGCCACATCTGTGTTCGCACCAGCCAACCACTGCAAGAGCAAAGACTGCTCAGCTCCTGTACAGGCCAACCACTGCCTGCTGTTGCACTGGTCAAAGGACAAGCAACATTTTTACATCCTCCTCCATGTTAAACAAAGATCAAGACCTTATTCACACCCTGCCAGCTACAGCAGGAAATATTTTTGCAGGTAATGCCTAATAGCAGGCCTTTAGGCACGGCTGCAATATAAAGTTTTTATATACTATCCTACCATTGTATAAGAAAGTAATACAGTGAGGATACAGATTTAGATGTGGTTTTGTGTTTGAACATATACTGCCTTTTGATAACATCTTCTGAATGTTAGGAACTAACACTTATGAAGGGCCTGAAGTACCTAGTGAAAGACTCAAGGTATTTTAACCTTAAAGTTAAAGGGTTAAACCTTAAAGTTATCCAATCTTTCACTTTTTAAAATGCAGACAGTCTGAAATGCATGCATCAGAGAGTACTGAAATACATCACAGAAAAAAAAAAAAAAGAAAAAGAAAAAACTCAACATTAAAAGTACAAGCAGTGATCAACTTTCTTTCAAGCATTCTATTTTATAACTGAGGAAGAGGATGGTTCATAAGAGGAAAGCACTTTTTTTTTTTTTCCATTCTAGTAACATACAAATTCCTAGCAGACAGAACACCACACTCTGAATTTGCATGCTATACATCCTCTGAAGGCCCTAAGTGCTTTCAGGACATCTTAAGATTCTGGTATTTAACAAAGTGAAAAATAAGCCCCTTAACCATCCTGTGGCCTCACAGAAATTTCTGACATTACTGCCTGCATACTGTGCATCACCACAAAGGCCATAATACAGCACAGCTATAGTACACTCAAGATGAGTCAACAATACGTTTCCTGCAACAAAAAGGAACACACATCATCTCAGGATGTATTAACAAACAGATATGTAAAGTACCAGAAGCAATAATAATGTTGTATTTGGCTTCAATAAGGCACCTTCTGGTTGATGGTTATTAATTTTGCTTTGTAAGTATAATTGATACTGAAAAAGTAACCAAACAGGCAACCTTCTCTTAGCCCATACAATTAGTGCTCTCACACAGCACCTCTCCTTTCAACTAGAAATTTCTACCTCTTCAGAACAGGGGCCCATCCTCTTCATCTCAGAAAGCAGAAATAAGTCTTTGAGAGCTAAGTGGCTGGAAGGTTAAAGTGTTTTAATTATAACATTTAGACTATCGATGGTAGATAGAACACTCCAAAATCCTCTGACTATGTACTCATTATTGCCCCTCTGTCAGGGATCCGGCCCCCTTAAACCAAGAGGTGATTTGGCAGTGAGCAGCGAGAGGTGAAAATGCAAACATATAATCTGATTAGCATTTTCAAAAATAACAATCGTTAAACAAGTTACCATGTAAAAACATTCTAATTCAAACCCCATCTCCCTCTTTCTCTCCCCCTCCTTTCCTAATTTTTGGTCGAGGTGTTAAAAAAAACCCAAAACATAATTTTGAAAATGTCTAGAAGTGAGTAATAAAAATTTTAAGACAACTGGAAAACTCCAACTCCTGAGGGTTTGTTCAGTTTAAAAGAGGGGAAACACACGGAAACATAACTCTTAAAACCTG